TTCTGCTGTGGGGAGTCCGGTAGGGTGAACGTCTGGGTGATGCCCTCCGCACGACAAAAGCGACCAAGGACGCCTGAGGCAAACTCGCCACTACGGTCTGAGTGCAGTCGCAAGACAGGGAGACCGCGGTGGACACGCGCAGAGACGAGCCAGGGGATGAGAGCGCCAGGCACGTCGGCCTTGCGCTCCAGGGGGAAGACTGTGGTGTAACGAGTGAAGTCGTCGACAAGCACAAGGAAGTAGCGCTCCCGACGCGGCCCAGGGACGGGGGCGGGGCCCCAGACGTCCAGGTGCAGGGTCTGGAGCGGCGCGGCGGTAGGGGGAAACGAGGAGGAGTGAGGGGCACGGCGAAGCCGACCCTCGACGCAAGGCGTGCAAGGTGGGGCTGGGGAGAGAACCTGGGAGACCAAGGACAAGACCGTGCTGGGACATGTGACGCAGACGCGGGAGCGCAGGGTGACCTAGGCGGTGGTGCCAAAGGAGGGTCGGGTGAGTGAGGGACCGACAGGAGCAGGCAGCAGCAACCTGGGTAGACGCAGCCACCTGAGGGGGCGCTCTAGCCGGGGGGGTCACGATGTCCAGAGTGAACAGGCCGGACACCGGGTCCCGGGGGAACGTGGACAGGGGGGCACCGGTGGCGGCCTCGGTACAGACAGCATACCGCTCGTGACCAGGGAACGTAGTGGTGACGCGAAGGTCCTGGAGGCAGCCGACACCAACTAGGTTCCTGGAGAACGAGGGGATATGCAGACCTGTAAGAGTGCCCGAAGGAACCGCCGGACAGGGAAGGGTGGTGGGACTGCGGGCGAATACCGGACCGCCGGAGGGGTCAGCAAGAGAAACGGCAGCGGGGACAGGAAGCGGCGTCAGGGTGGTGGAGTCGCGGAAGAAACACCGAGAAGCGCCAGAGTCCAAGGTGAAGGAAAGCGAAGCAGAGGCGTCGGGCGACGGAACGACGGCGGAAGCACCAAGACTACACAAAGCAGAGGATCCTATGCCTGACGCAGCAGGGGAGGGTACACTAGGCACACCTACACTAGGCAACAGTGAGGAATAAGCTGGAAGCACACTAGAGTCAGCAGCATACATCACATGCAGAGCAGAAACAATGGCATCCATGTCCATATCAAAGATCTGAATCTGACGACTAAGCAAAATGTGCCAGTCCGGGAGGTCTGGCGACGGGCCGAAGCGCTGACGAAAGAGGTCGTCCAGACGACGAAAACAGCGGGGAGTGGAGTGACCGATCTTACCGCAAACGAAGCCGCGGCGAGGACCGGTCTGGATCTGGTACTGACAGCGCCCGCCGCCACTCGACACACCACCACGCGCCCGGCCACCGCCAGCGCCGGGCAACCCGGGCAGGAGGACACTCGTCTGCCGCGTCTGCGACGGCTGCTGCGAAGGCTGCGACTGCGGCGGCTGCTGCGGCTGCTGCAACTGCAGGGGCGGCGACTCAGCTGGACTGGGCAAGGTCCCCTCGTCCGCTCCAGCACCAGACGACCCGACCCCACCACTGCCCCCACCCGCACCCCCGCCTCCGCCTCCGCCGCGCCCAACCTTGGGGCGGCGCCCCTTCCCCGAACGAAACTGCGCTGCAGCAGCAGTCTCAGCCACTGCGACAGAGTTGTCGGAGAAGGTACACTGGGCGGGGGCACAACCCTGAAAGATAGGGACAGGCACGACACCGCTCGCCTGGGCGATGGAGCGGTGACGGGTCTCTATCACAGTCAGGGTGTCTACAAAGTCAGTGAGGGTGAGGTCGGCGGGGTGAAGGCTAAGGAAGCGGTCGCGGGCGACAGCAAGGCGGTCAGGGAGGCGGGTGGCAAGGAGGTAGAGGGTAGAGGTAATGGGCGGCTGGTGGGCTCTAAGCTGTGCGTCAGTGCACGCGGCGCGCCAGGTCTCCTCTATCGAGCGCAGGTGGGCAGCGAGGTCAGAGACAGTGGGGAAAGATGCAAGGTCAGGAAAGAGCATCGGGAGGATCAGGCGACCCACCGAGGCAGCCGGAGGGGTGGAATAGCGCTTGATCACAGCATCTAAGTAAGCCTGAGCAGTAGTGAGGGACCTAAAGCGAGGACGCTCGGACGGGGGGAGGGCGTTGCTAATGGCAAGCTGGGCGACAGCATCGCGAGAAAGCCAGACAGAGCGCGCACGGGCAGTGGCAGCAGTAGACTCACGCTCAGTGGGTGTGGGGTCAGCGGGCAGAATAGCAGGAGGGTCTGGGCAGGGGAGCGTACCGTCAAGATGTGCGGAAAGCGGTTCACCATCCTGCCGCTGGCCAGTGAGTTGGCGGCGGAGGTCGGCAAGCCACGCCTCGAACTCTAGGGGCTGACCTTCAGCGTCGAAGCGAAGCTCCGCCGCCATCAGGAACAGTCCAGTGCAGCTAGGTGGGGCGCGGTGCAGGGCGGTACAGTGCGGTGCAGTGCGGTACAGGGTGGTGCAGTGCGGTGCAGTGCGGTGTAGTGCGGTGCAAGGCAGTACAGTGTGGTGCGGGGTGGGGGGAACCGTACCAGGGAGGAGGACAGGGCCGGGGCTGGCGCGACGGGGCCGGACGGGCGCGACGGGGCCGGGCGGGGCGCGACGGGGCCGGGCTGGGCGCGACGAGGCCAGGCGCGACGGGGCCGGGCGAGGGCGGCAGGGCCGGGCCGGTGCGACGGGGCCGGGCGAGCGGGACGGCGGCCGGGCGGGTGCGACGGGGCCGGGCGGCTGCGACGGGGCCGGGCAGGGTGCGACGGGGCCGGGCTGGCGCGACGGAGCCGGGCTGGTGCGGCAGGGCCGGGACGGGGCGACGGGGCCGAGCGGGCGCGACGGGGCCGGGCTGGGGCGACGGGGCCGGGCGAGTGCGGCAGGGCCGGGCCGGTGCGACGGGGCCGGGCGAGCGAGACAGCAGCCGGGCGGGTGCGACAGGGCCAGGCGGCTGCGACGGGGCCGGGCGGGCGCGACGGGGCCGGGCGGGTGCGACGGCGGTAGGTGGGTTCGACACGGCCCAGGAGGGGCGCGACAGGGCCCAGGAGGGGCGCGACGGGGCCTGGGAGGGGCGCGACGAGGCTTGGGAGGGGCGCTACAGGGCCCAGGGAGGGCGCGACGGAGCCCAGGAGGGGCGCTACAGGGCCCAGGAGGGGCGCGACGGGGCCCAGTAGGGGCGCTACGGAGCCCAGGAGGGGCGCGACGGGGCCTGGGAGGGGCGCGACGGGGCCCAGGAGGGGCGCTACGGGGCCCAGGAGGGGCGCTACGGGGCCTGGGAGGAGCGCGACGGGGCCCAGAAGGGGCGCTAGGGGGCCTGGGAGGAGCGCGACGGGGCCTGGGAGGGGCGCGACGGGGCCTGGGAGGGGCGCGACGGGGCCTGAAGGGGCGCTACGAAGCCCAGGAGGGGCGCTACGAAACCCAGGAGGGGGCGCGACGGGGCCCAGGAGGGGCGCTAGGGGGCCTGGGAGGGGCGCTACAAAGCCCAGGAGGGGCGCTACGAAGCCCAGGAGGGGCGCGACGGGGCCCAAGGAGGAACGCGACGGGGCCCAGGAGGGGCGCTAGGGGGGGCCTGGGAGGGGCGCGACAGGGCCCAGTGAGGGGCGCGACGGGGCTAGGGGGGGTCGCGACTGGGCTAGGGGCTAGAGGGGTGAGCGGAAGCGGTAGGTGGGGAGGGATCCTACCTACGCGTGATACCATATCAGAAATTGAGAGTTGAATGATAGATAGAAAGAGAGTACACAAGTATATACCTCAGGGTTGTACCCTCTAAGAGACTACCCTATACAGTCTATACAAACATGACAAGTACACATGTTTGACAGATTCCTCATTAGCAGTTGCTTGGTGAAGTTCTGGCCTCAAAAGTGCCCATTACAATCCAAATTCATTTTGCATTTTACATAAGACATGGGCTTTATATTTTTCCAGCCTACTGTTAACACCCATACGTTTACTTTTAATGAAATTTTGACAATACCATAGGGTGTTATATACGGGGGAATACGGTGTCGCAAGAGCTAGGTAGCTAGGAAGCCATGAAAATGGCGAGAGGGTTTAGCTAGGAGAATGTTGACGAGAGAAAAGGGGTCGAGAATAGAAGAGAGAGGGATACAAGGAGGGGGGTTGTACCCTCTACAGTAGGTTTCAGTAACACCTACCAAGCCTACCAATTATATAAGATATATATAATTTAACACAACCCCTAGGCTTGGTAGTAGAAGAACCCACACACACCCACACCCCCTAACCTAGCACCCCCATTCCCAACAGCAGCCACGACTACTCCGGCATGGCCAATCCCCGGGGCCCGTGAGATGGCAACAGCGGCAGCGGCGGCAGTGACGACAGTGGCGGCGGCGGCGGCGTGCGGCGGCAACAGGCCAGTAGCAACAGCAGCGACGGCAGCGGCTTCGACGTCAGAGGCGACTGCAGCGGCCCCCGCCCTCTCGGCGGTGTGGCCAAGCTCCGCGACGATGGGGAAGACCCTCACGAGTTAGGCGTCGGCTGTGGCGAGGAAGAGGGGACGCAGGGGAAAAGGGAGGGGGGCAGAATCACGCCCCTGGTAGGCGAGCGGGCGGCAGGTCTAGCGGTGCCACATGCGTTGCGCGGCCGGCTGCCACCCGACGACGCTGCCACCGCAGCATTACGACGCAGCCACCGCAGCATTACGGCGCCGCCATAGTGCGGTGTCGATGCCACGGCGGGACGTCGATGCTGCGACGGCAGCACGACAGCGCCGTCACGCCGCCGCGGTTGGACGTCGACGCCACGACAGCGCGACGCCACGGCAGCGCGTCGAGACGGCCGCAGCACGACGACGCCGCCACAGCAGCACGACGCGGCCGCCACAGCGGCACGACGACGCCGCCACAGCAGCACAACGTGTGAGAGAAGGAGTGCGCGGCGGAAGCGTGGGGAGCAGGCCCGGGAAGGGCAACCTGCTCAGATACCATGTCACAAGAGCTATGTAGCTAGGAAGCCATGAATATGGCTAGAGGGTTTAGCTAGGAGAATGTTGACGAGAGAAAGGGGTCGAGAATAGAAGAGAGGGATACAAGGAGGGGGGTTGTACCCTCTACAGTAGGTTTCAGTAACACCTACCAAGCCTACCAATTATATAACATATATATAATTTAACATACCTAGGCAGGCTACAAGTATACCAAGGACTAGGTGTCACAGTGAAAGGTTAAGGTTCAGGCCGAAGCCTAGATCCATGTCATCTCGCCCCTGCTCCTGCTGGCCGGCAGGTGGCGCTGCACCAGTAGCTGGCGCAGGCAAGGGGCCAGCTGCTGCTGCTGCTACACTGCGGACAGCTATTGTCTCTACAGAGTCCTTCGAAATGGGAACACTAGACGAGCCTACAGGCTGGGAATCCTGGAGGTCAAACACAGGGAGGGTGGAGTGCTGGTGCTGCTGCTGGAGCAGCAGCCGCTGGTGCTGGATTAACAATTGCTGGTGCTGGAGTAACAGTTGCTGGTGCTGCTGCTGCTGCTGCTGCTGCTGCTGCTGAGCCATGTGACCATGCTGAAGCTGTAGTGCTTCTAACGAAGGGGAAGACCAGTTACCAGCAGCAGCAGCAGAAGCAGCAGCTGCCGCAGCAGCAGCAATGGCTGCAGTTGCATCAGCAGCAGCAGGGAAAGTGTCCCGTGGACCGTGCTGCTGCTGCAGAGCCTGCATAAGGGCAGTGGTGGGGAGAGAAGGGATGTGCAGGGAGGGCGCAGGGGCAGTAGGCGCATAGGGCAGTGGGGGGAGAGGAGCGGGTGTGTGCACTGCCATGGCACGTAGAGAGGGGTTTAGCATGGAGAGGGAGCGATGGAGGGGCGCTTCCATGCTCACACTGCGATGGGGCTGATGGGGTTGGGAGTGGTAGACAGCCATGGGGTTCCACTCCACTTCCTCACCGGTTTCTCCTTTCTTCTCCCCTAACTGCTCCTGCCGCACCTGCTGTTGCTGCTGCTGCTGCTCCTGGGCCTGCATCCTTAACGCACTCTCCCTTGCTCCATCTCCCCGATTGCTCCCAATGCTGTGCTGGTTCAGCGCTTGCGAGCGGCCATCACCTGCTGCTGCTGCTGCTGCTGCCCCAGCCCCTCCCACCATCGCCGCGCTCCCTGCCATTCTTGGAAGCCCTCCAGGTGACCCTAGGCCCAGCAGTCTGCTTAGCACAGGCTCTGCTGCTGCGGCTGCTGCACCCCCGCCTGACGCTGCAGCCGCAGCCATAGCAGCCGCCATCACTGCTGCCGCTCCCACGTCCTGGCCTCTCCCTCCCGCCCCACCAGCAGCACCAGCAGCACCAGCAGCACCAGCAGCACCAGCAACAACAAGTGGAGTCAATCCTGCCACTGCCCCGCCACACCCTTTGCCACCTCCCACCCTTCCTGCTCCCCCAGCCGCCACCGCTCCTCGTGCTGAGTCGCCAGGAAGGGGCAGGAGAGGCGGAGTGAGGGAGGTCGGGGCGGCCATGAGAGAAGAGGAGGCGGGGGCGGAGGCAGCATCACTGAAGGTATACCCTGAGAAGTTGGACCGGCGCCTCTTGGTGTGCGCAGTCATGTGTCCGCCCAGCGCCTGGGCGTTGTTGAACCGCATTCCGCAGTCCTTGCACTTGTACCCGTCCTCGCTGCACCACAGCTTTGGCCGGCTCCCTGCACTCCCCCCTGCTCCTGCTCCTGTGCTACCTGCACCAGTCGCAGCAGCCCCAGATCCCACTTCCCCACCAGTAGCAGTACCAGCAGCAGCAGCAGCATTGCCTGCTGAGGTTTGCTGGGTGGCTGTTCCTGCTGACGCTGTCTGCTTGCACCGCACACCACTCCCACTGCCGCTGCCCCCACTCCCCCCTGCTGTCCCAGCTGGTGCCGCCGCCGCTGCTGCTGCTGCTGCCGCTGCAGCACCAGCAGCGGCCAGGGAGAGGGTCCTCCTAGGCGCTAGCCCTGCACTTGCATCAGTAGCAGCAGTCGAGGCAGGACCTGGAACAGGGGGGGTTCTAGCCCTCGCGAGCGCTGCAGCTGTAGCCGAGGAAGGATATCCTGCCTGCGGCCTCCTCGCCTGCTGCTGCTGCTGCTGCTGCTGCTGCTGTGGGTGCGTGGTATGGGGTGCTGGTTGAGGCACGGAGGAGGGCGTTCCAGGCCATGTCAGCCCAGACAGCCCCGCACCTCCTGCTGGCCCCATGCCCCCAGACGCTACCGCTGGTGGTGCTGGCGATGGCGGTGGTGGCGGCGGTGGTGGCAGTGGTGGCAGGAGAGGCTGAGGGAGGGAAGGGGGAAGTGGGGGGGTTGGAGCGCCAGGGAAATGTATAGATGGGAGGAAAGTAGCTGGGGCGTTGGCAGGAGGGGCGGCAGCTATGGCAGCAGCATGAGAGGCGGCGATGAGAGAAGCCATGTGGTCGTTCCACCACGCTGGTAACACCGCTCCCCCGCCCCCGCCGCCTCCAGGGAAAGTCACTTTCTGTTGCCTCTGCTGCGGCGGCTGCTGCGGCTGCTGCAGGTACTGTTGCTGTTGCAGGTGCTGCTGTCCCGTGTTGCTGTTATGCGACGACTCCTCCCTGCCTCTCGCCCACATCTCCCGCTCCCCCACCCCTTGCGCCGCCCACGCTTGCGCCTCCTGGCTCCCTTGCTGCCACTTGCCGCCCCCCGCGCCTGCTGCTGCAACCGCGGCAGCCGCCATCGCTGCAGCAGCAGCGAGAGTAGCCGCCAGAGCTTCCCGGTTACCCGCATCTTTCTCCGCGCCCGCGTGCGCGCCCCCGTTGTCCGCCACCAACGCTATCCCCTCGCTCCGCCCGGCAGGAAGCCTCCGCGGGCCCATCCAGCTCGCGCCCGCGCCCGCGCCAAGCGCGTGCGCAAGGCTTTGCGCAGCCGAGTACGCCGCAGAGGACGCGGTTGCGGCGACGGCGGCCGGCGCGACGCTTGCGGCGGTCGGGGCAGTGGCGGAAGCCGCCGCGGTCCATCCTGATCCCGGAACCAGGAAAGGCGCGCCCGCCGCAGAGCCCGCCGTCCCAGCAACCGCGCCGGCCGCCGCCGCTGCAGTCGCCGCTGCAGCCGCGTGGTGCGGGGAAGCGCTGTTAAAGCTCATGTGCACGCGGTCCCTCTGCGTGAGATGCCCCGCGGGCGCGCGCGGAATGAGCATCAGCGCACCGGGCGAGGTCCGCCCAGCCGCGGCTGCTGAAGTGGCAGCAGCAGCAGCGAGGGAAGCGGCGCTTCCGGCTGCGGAGGCGGCGGTCGCTCCAGGCGCGGTGACAGCAGCGACTGTAACAGAGGCGGAGGCAGAGGCGGATCCGGCGTGCTCCGGCTGTAGCTGAGGCGGCGAGGCCAGTGGCAGCATCATCTGTAGCCGCAACGCGTGCTGTACGGCGGCGGCGTCAGCAGCGCCTTGCAGACCTCGCGCAGACGCAGCGGGGCGGCTACGGCGCGTCTTGTTGCTGATCGTGTCGGCGCGGCGGAACGCACCCTCCCCCATCATGCTTCCCTCTGACCTCCCCGGGTCGGTCAACGACCCTGGGCCGTCATCGCCGCTGCGCCGATTAACCGCGCTGTTGTCGCCTCCCCCTTCCTCCGCCTTCGGCACTCCCCCTTCCCCGCGGCCGCGGAACGCGCGATCGAGCGGCGCGAACGGCAGCAGCTGCCTCTCCCTTCCCTGCACCTCCTCCTCCCTCCCTTCCTTCGCTCCAGCGCCCTTCCGCGGAGCGTGCGGCGAGGAAAGCACGGCGGAAGCGCCCTTCTCCGCGGGCATCAGGAAGGCGAAAGTGCGCGCGCCCGTCGACTCGGGGTGATCCGCGGTCGCCGAGGCTCCACCGACGCCGCCGCCGCCACCGCCGACGGCGGCGAGCGCGCCTTCGACGGTATCGCCGGCAGAGGCCCAGATGGAAGAGGAGCCGCGGAACCGGCGGGCATGATCTAAACCCGCGGGGGGGGACAACCCGCGAGTGCGCGTGCGCGTGGGCGTTCCTAGCTCCAGCGCGTGGGTCTCTCCCGCAGAGGCAACGCCGCCGCCAGGCGCGTAAGGGTACGGGGACAGACTAAGAGGGTCCGCGAGAGGGGTGGACGCGGTCAGCGAGAGATGCTGGGGCGACGGCAGCTGCGCGGGGTGGCGGAAGTCTGCGCTCCGGCTGTCGCGCGGCTCGTCCTTCACTGCCTCCGCGGCGGAGGGGAAAGCGACGGCTCCGGGGACGGCGCGCGGTCGCTTTTTAGCGGGCACCCCGTCTTCCCCACGCCACATGCCTGCGGGCGGCACGGGGGGGAACTTCACGTGCGGGAGGATGCGGTGACCGAATAAAACCGCGCCGGGCCCCTCGGGAGCTGGAGTCGCGACCGAGTCGGAGTCCTCGCGCTTGCGGCGGGACGAGCCGCAGCGCGCGGCGCTGGCGGCAGCGGAGTGGGTCGCCGTCTCGGCGGAAATTTCGCAGAGGAAGCGGCTGATGCGCTGCCGCTGGCTGGTCACGTTCCGCGACGTCAACGGCGGCGGGCGCGGCGGGCAATGCGGACGATCCAGCACTAATAGGTCGGGAACGGTGCCGACGGCGCTGCGATGATTGCACGTAAGGAACGTGCGCGATGGCTGGGCGGGAACGAGGGCCGAGGCGGAGGATTCGGGGGAAAAGGAGCCCGCGGAGGCCGCGGAGAGAGAGCAGGCTGGAGGGATTTGCCGATGCTTGCTCGCACGCGCCGATAGCGGCGCCGCGCGCGGAGTAGCGAGAGGATTGCTTAAGTTAGGCGGATTACTATTGTCTGCCATAGAAGCGCGCAGCCAGAGGCAGTAGCAGCGGCAGCGGCGGCAGCGGAATCGGATTCTTCGGCGACACTTTGGTGCTTTTGCGAGTACGCGTTGATTGATCCAGGGTGACTGCCGGCGAAGTGGGCGAGAAAACCTGAGCTTCCTTGCCAGTAGTAGTACTGGTGCTGGTGGCTAACAGAGCGCACAGCACGGCGCGGGCTGAAACGGAGAGCGCGGAGCGGCGGCAAGACGAGCGAAAACAGTGGGGCCGTGTGACTTGACGCGCTGATGGTTTCGGTTCTGAGGAGAAGGAGCGAGGAGAATTAGCAGCGCAGAGTGAAGGACCGACGCCGCCGAGCGCGTAGGACACTGAAACCAACTTGAAGCGAGAGTGAAAGGAGGAAGGTACGTGCGCGAGAATTGCCGGCGTCGCATGGAAAACTGACTCGACAGCGGGTAGAAGAAGTGAGGGAAGAGCTATCGCGCAAGTGCGGAGGAACGACGGCGACTGTACGGGGGAATAAGTCACCATGAAAGCCTTGCTGCTGTACTGCACTTCACGATGGCGGTTGATGGTTTGTGCTCTGGGCGATTGCTAGCGAAACGATGAGACAGAGATACTAACGGGGCTAGTGAAGCGGTGGGTGAGGGCGTCGTCACTCTAATAGCCTGGCATTAGATGGAATGGACTAAACCTCACAATCCTACAGCCTTACTCAGTCTGCACTAGTCTGTGCAGTGATTGACACGTAGCACCGCCAACTGGAGATTCACTGAGGGCCCGCACTGTATGGGTAAGAGTGTCTCTCTCGGGCATGCTCCGTAAGAGCAGGACGAGAGAGAAATTGATTCTGTTTAGGGACCTTCCCGAAGGCAGCCAGCTCGAAGCGCTGCCGCCAGCGTGTACAGTGCAGCGTGTAGTGAAGTGAAGGCTCCCCTGTCCGAGCTGGAATCAGTGCACGCGCTTTCCTGGCTTATCGCGACAAGCCAGCTCCTTGCCAGTGGTTTGGGTTGGCCTGGGCGCTGGAGCTGGCTGGCAGGCATCAATAAGCTGGGCGTCCGACATCGCCAGCTCGTGAATCACTCGAAAGAGCGAGCAAGGGGTGGCGTTGGGTTTGGGGTAGGGAGGAGTCGGGACTAATTACCAGAATTGTCATGGACACACTCGTAATTTTCGCGGTTGAGATATGAATCCGGCTTTTATAGGCGTTCCCTTGTTGCTGCTAAAGGATGCACATCTCCTTGAGCAAAGTGCTTCTTTGCGGGTGGGAATATTGAGTAAAGCGCGAGAGGAAGGGGGTTCGGAAGGAGGGCCATGGGGCTGCTCTTCCAGTCTCATCCGACAGATCTGCTGTTACTCCAGGTTGGCACACTGGGCCACCCGATAAGACAGAGATTGCGGGCCGAAGAAATTCAAAAAAAAAAAAACAGTTTTTGTTACAGGCAGTAGCCACACTGGGTGAACCAATGATAATCGCGAGCACGTCCGGCAATCATTATGAGCATTCCAAGGGTACAATCGATGCTCACCCAATCCCGTACGCAGCGCCTATCCCAATCAGAATCACTTTTCAAAACCTCGGATTTAGGGTCAATGTGATAATGCATACAACCACATCTACACCGCACAGCTACCGAATCCACCACATGTTGATGGAGTGTGGAACGAAACGACCACACAATTGCCCGTTGGAACCTGTTTATTGACCAGACACAAATATCTTGTTACAAATTCCACGTTTCTGTCCCATTTGCCCGTGGCGAAGCATGCGAAATGAAGAGCTCGACCTCAAGAAGTGTTGCCCAAGCATCCGCTGCCAAAGAACCTGCGGCACAATGGGGAAGATTTATTGTGCGCAAGAAGTTTCCTGCACATGCTCAAATAAATCCACATGGTAGGGTAAACCCCTTCACAAAGATGAATGATTACTGCCCATCCCCCGCCAATCGGTTGGCCAGTCCCCACCGCAGATATCACACCGCAGAGCTCTGCTGGGATTGCACGCACGGGACGACATCAACAACAGCGAGCGGTAGAATTAAGCAACCGATTTTCTTGTAGCAGGAGCAAGCCACTCGGGTCAAGTGCCATCTCTGAGTGTCACAGATGGTACAGTAAATCTAAAGTACACTGACGTTTTTCAGCAGTCATTCGTAGCATATTTGCGCCTTGTCGTGTTTTGATAGTCATACAGTACTGCCAAATCAATGTTTAAAAACCGGGGAGCTTTTGATGCAAAACCTTGTGAAAGGACCTGGCATACTCAGGCCTGATGCAGATTCTCCAGAAATCTCCAGGCTGTGACATAGGATCTGATTCAAATTGGAACTTGGCAAGAATGAATCAGCGTACTAAAATCCTGCACCGTGTCAACTCTACCGACAATGGAATGCGAGTCAGGGAGGGACCCTTGGATGGCATTGCGGATGACATGACGCAAATAAACCTCTGACTGAGGTGCGTCTGCAGCTTCGTGTCAGCCATTCGTGTCACACCATAGGCGGCATTGATCTGGACACATCAGCTTTTTTCTATTTGTTACCCTCAGGGCTCTCTGCAGTCGAGTACGTGACACTAACAGAGGTAAAACGCTGCCTAAGTGCGACAAAAAACAACCGATCAAGTCGAGCTGAGTTGAGATGGTAATGAAGAACCAAAATTCATGCGAGAAACACGGTGCAAACATTTTGGGAAGTGAAGAACGTTTTCCACAATTACGCGGTGCGCAATGTGTACAGTGCATCACACAGACCACTTGTTACTGTACCACTCTCAAAGCGTGTCCAAAGTGGGATGTTGACGGATGTCCACGGATGTGGACCAAACACACAAACTTCTGTCGTAGTTTCAGCGTGGTTCTGTGCGATTAAAGAACATTTCAGATACAGCTATTATTTTGAAGAGCACAAAAATCAGCGGGCGGAGTACAGTTTGGAAACTCCCCTCCCCAACCTCCATCCCTTCTTGTCTCGCCATCATTTCACGGCACGGCTGGCAGCTTCGCAGGGCAGAAAGCCCAATGCAAGACCAGGTGCAGAGATTTTTCAGGCTGGATATCCCGATGGTGCTGTAATCATGACGAATCATTTGATAAGAACATCAGTGGTCCCCGTAGATCTCACTATTGCATGGCTGGAGGAGTGCAATGATAACCCCGCTTTTCAGTAGGTGAACAGACCCAGTCTTCACGGATTCTGCGATAATTTTTCACCAGCTGAAACTCAATGCATTACTAAACGCTACAAAAACAGAGAACATGATAAAAAATTGTACAGCAATAAAACAAGAGTCTCACGCTAGGTATGTTATCACATTCATTCGAGATGCGTGACCCAAATGTGGCATCTGCTGAGCCTCTCCACCCCCATTCTTCTGCTTCTGGTCTAAGATCTGCCAAGCTTCTCTTTCCGCTTCGTACCGAACTATGTCCTTGTTCAAGGCAGTTTGAAGTTTGCCTTGTTCAAACAATTTGAAGTTTGCCTTGTTCAATTATTCTTTAATACTCTTCTCTTGTCCTTGCCCCTATATGGTTTTCATTTGTTCCTTCCTTCCTTCCATTCCAGGTCATCCAAATTGCCACATCATCTGTTGGAAATACCTCAAGGACTTAAGCGTTTCTGAAGTGCAACACTACACTCGAGGAAAGTCGTAACGGGTACGCGAGTCAACGGAGGTTACACGAGGGGGTGGACAAACAACACGAAAGGACTCGAAGGGTCGCAACCGGAGGTTGCGACTGACCGTTACAACTGCAAGGACGGTAACAGAACCGACAATCGAGCCGCTGTGCGACTCGATAAACCGCTCTTTCAACTGTGTTCTACAATTGCTTTACTTTCCTAATTTCTATATATTGCTGTATGCTTGTTTTCTTTAATCAATCACTTGCTCTCACATACTAGTGCAAGGGTTCAACTACTCCAACTTCCGCTGCACTACTCAAGCATCTTTTACAACTGGGACTTAGTCTCTGGAAAGATCCTAAGTGCATTTCTCAGCCCAACATCGTATGAGAGCTGGTCAGAGACCAAACTCCCAGCAACTACGCTCTATTTACAATCAGCATACCAACGACTTCATTGATTACAAGTCATGGACAACAAGGGCAAGAAAACCTCTACGGGCTCACCCAGTGCCCAAGACACTCAACCCGGCAACTCTGGACTGCACACTTCAGGACTGCAAACCGAGATCGGCGCTGCTCAAGAAACAACAGGAAGAGCACCAGAAATGGTGACCCCATTACCCTCTTCCAGCGTGGACCCAAACCTCATGGAAAGGTTCTTCAGCTCCATGTCACACTTCGACCAGCAGCAGCAGACAAGGACACCTGCGCATTCAATACAGAGCAACGGAGGAAATATGGGATTAGCGTCGATGAGTCTCGACAACTCATCATTCGGGCGACACAATCAAGCGCCTACCTTTGCGCCTTATCACTCTTCACCGGGGACGTTCGAGTTCATGCCGCCCCGTGCCCAACCAACAGCAGCTGCATCACAACAGACACCAAACGAGATTTTAAGTCTCCAGGCGCAGTTTTCGCACGTGATCAAACTGCAGACATCCTCACCGTTTAACGGACACGACTTCTTTACCTGGAGCTTTGAGTTCGAGCTGCTGATGGAGGCTGCGCATCTCTTGGGATACTTCAACGGGTCCCTGCCATTCCCAAGCAACGGCACTGCGAAAAACCAAGAAATCTTTACGTATCAGTCGCTGCTGGCGTACACAGTCCTCCTGTGAAACCTGCCACCACAAGAGCAGCAAAGCATCTGAACGTATCGAAGCTATGGAAACTCCGCGGAACTCGCATGGCATCACCTCAAGTGTCTCTATCAAGCAAACGACAGCGTGACACAAAGCAGACTCATGCAGTAGCTGACAACAATACAGATGAAGACCGGAGAAAAGGCGATGCAGTAAATGAGTCGCTGCCAGACACTCCACGACTGCCTGCTTCGGTGCGGAGGAACAATCACTGAAGAAAGCTTCGTGACACTTGTCCTCGCTGGGCTCGGGCCAGAATGGAGAACCACCCGCTCGCTTCTTCGCGCCCACGGACAAATCTCGGAGATGCACCTCTGCGCCGAGCTTCATGCTGAACAACAGGAGACGGACCTGTTTGAAGAAAGACAACCAAGGAAACAGCAACCGTTAGTTTTCTACACTCAACGAAGGAACGACAACAACTACAACCGACGCGACAAGCAAGATCAACGTGACAAAAGAGGACTCACCATTGTGCCGCCGTTCTGCCACAACTGTCAAACATCCGGACACTCCAAAGTCAACTGCACACGTCCCCGAGCTTATCGTCCAGTAGACCCACAAGTCGCTTCCACTCAAGAAAGCCCGCCGAGGCATTCCTCCACATCTGTACAAGGCACACCTAACATCATCAATTGCATGGTACACATCGACAACTGCGCACCCGGATCACCACCCACTTACGCTCCAGACGAAGAAGAGCTGTCGCCGCCGCGCTCACAAGGACTTCAGGTCAACCCAACGTACGCTGCAGTCGCCAACGCCGATCCCACCGGGCGAAACACTGGGTTCTTGGACAGCTGTTGCAGCCAACATATGTGTTCTTCCGAGCGCTACGTGCAACGAGAGCGACGTCTCAACCGTGATGTCATCATCACCGTCGCCAACAACGAGAATATGAAAACAAAGAGACAAGGCATCGTTCAGCTTCAGTCAATGGAGACGAACGTCATACTACAACTCAACAAAGTTCTAATCGTCGACAACTTGGGATACAACTTACTCAGTGTTAGCCAGATAATGGCAAAAGGGATTCACCTGGAATGCGA